GTGGTAAATGTAATCTTGTAGTAGAATTTGATGTCACAACTGCTAGAAATCAATGATATCACATGCACGTAACCGAGTAAACCTAGCTCATTTTCATGACATTCTTCATATCAGTAGTGTGCTTCACTTCTCAAAACAAGTGTAAGCTTTGATAACTAAATTTATCGTATGATTATACCAGGTATGATCGTGCCTGTAGAAACTTTATGTTGATCATACAAATACCTAGTTTATGAGAATAAAGTATTAGTATTACTCACCTTCAACATTTCAAAAAAGAAACGTTCACATCAATAAAAGAGCATCATTTTCTTTTACAGAATGAATCACACCGAACAGAAACAAAGTTTTCTTGATTTTGATATGCAGACACATTAGGACTCTCTAAAAATTATGTGGCTGTAGTGGGATATCACGTTATTTCATCGAATATAATTTAATATCCTCACAATAAAGATGTAGCAGGTAGATGAATGAAGATAAGATGTGAATAAATGGACAATGGAGTTACTTTTTTGACTGTTCGACTTCTGATTTACTGTTGTCTGATGAGAGTTTCACGTTAAAGTCAACTTGCACATATAGTGGTGTCAGCTGGCCGGTTTCATATTATTTAACCTCTAATTGAGTGGCTTTCAAATAAGGTAACTTCGAAAACGTTAAAATATCCAGTCGGTAATTCTGTGTACTTACTGATATGTGGTGGGACATTATAGCCTAACTGTCCTAACTATGACGTCTGCGTGTTTTCACAACAGTTTTTGCCTCTCAATGAGATTTAAAGGAAACCGACGAAAATGAATAGAAATGAAGAGGATAAATGCGCATAAACAACAGGACATAATTCTGATGAAAACAGGAAACATTCATCATTCGTGAAAACTAAGTCCTATTTTATGACGAAGTCAGTCACAGAATATTTTCACGGAGAAAAATCAGGAATCCATATGAACGACTAAACAGTCATATCAAAATAAACATGTATTTGGCAGGAGAAGCGATGAATTAAGGAAAAACAACTCTTCTTCTAATTAAATGAAGATATTTATTGAAAACAAAATATCACTCAAAGTCATTTCATGAAATATTCCGAAAGATGAAACTGAATCCACTTGAAACCATGGGCAAGTGTGAAATTGTGCAACGTGGAAACAAGAATTAGAGAGATGTCAAACATGTATCCGAGCAGCCTTAAAAACCAATTATTCTCTGACTCGGATAGATATGATCCCGCTGTGTGCAAATGTTTCTTGGTGTGTAAATTTTCACAGATGGTAAAAAGATGTTTGCAGCTAACTGATGAGTTCATTTCAAACGTCTCAGACATCTGCTCAATAATAAATCATACTATAGAGGGAAAATTGAGGTATTAAAAGATTTAACTAATCAAAGGGAATATTACCGATATACCCCATGGCAGAGAAACCGTCCGAGTTCGTGTATCTTTGGACTAAAATCCTAACAATCTTTGAAACTGTAAAGGCTGATCAGATTGAGAAAAAAGTGGGGAGATAAGGCATAGAAGTGCTCGGAATCTGTCAGAGCAGATGAGATGGATGTGGACTATCGAAATTGTCAACTGGAGAGTCAGTAATCTAATCTGGTCACCCAGAGGACAACCACGAGCATACTAAGGCACTGAGTGGCTATCATGACGTCACCAATAGCAGCAAAGGCTCTTATGCAGTAGGAACCAATCTTCTTCAGGATTATGACAGCAAGTCTCAACTCAAAAGGAAGGAAGGGACGTCACAATTACCCAGTGCTACGCACAATGCTACAGACAACTCAGGACAAGATAAGAAAGAAGATTTCTATAGACAACTACGAACAGTAGTGGACAGCATCCAAAATGGTGACATCAAAATCCTTATGGATGATATGAATGCCAACCGAACTGGGAGCAGACAGACAATGCAGGAAGAGAACTCATTATGATTCCAGAGGCTGCTGCTACGCAAAATGAATAACAATGGGAAATACCCTTCACAGACTACTGTGCTTTCAGTGATTTGATGATTGGAGGTAGCTTGTACAAGCACAAGGATATACACAAGGCAACATGGATTTCACCTGACAGACACACCAAAACCCAGACAGACTTCATCTCAATGTTGCTCAAGAAAGCGTGGACTCAGTCCTCGGACAAGAAGTTGAGGAAGGAAGCAGATGTGGGCTAAGGCCATTATCTGATGCAAGGAACCATCAACGTCAAGCTGAAAGCCTTCAAAAAACAGGGGACATTCTACAATTCAAGTTCAGCGCTCAGAAACTTAAGGAAGAAACTACAAACGACACCTTCAGTCAAGTCACCACAGCCAAGTCAGGGATATTATGTAGCATCAAGGAGAGGACTTGGATCGGGGATTAGTGGAACTGTGTGAAAGTGATACTAGTGAAAACCACGAAGTGATCTGCAAACCTCTTGAACATTACCGGGTGTCCCACACCTTTATCAACCGCAGTCAACAAATATATTGTTACGCCACATGTCAAATGATTAACGACAGAAAACTCAGCAGAGCTTCTGAAGTGAAGGCAAGATTGAGACAAGACTGCCTTCTATCACCGATGATATTCCTGACTATGTTGGATAGGTTCACGTGGAAAACTATATGCAGCAAGAATACAGGTATACCCTAGACCGACAAGAGAACTATAGAAGAATTGGGTTTGATGTCACACAAAAATGCAGAGATCTATTGGCAAAAACCAAGAAATTGGAGGGAGAGGTAGGCATCGAAGACAGGACTTTAAGTAAACAGAGAGAAGACAGAGGTTATAGAGACAATACCACCACCCAACACACTTCAATCGCTATCAACGGGAGAGATTCGAAGGAAGTCACTTTCACTTATCTTGACAGCATCTGCAACCTCAGGCCGCAAGGATCAGAATGTCAAAGGCAGGATAGAGAGGCAAGACTGACCTTCATTAATCCAAAGTCATTATGGAAATTCATTTCATTCAACATACAGAACAATATTTGGATTTTCAACAGTGATGGCCAGTCAGTGATTCGACATAGTTTAGAGGCTTGATGTGTCAACAGAAGCTGCAGACTTTTACCAACTCAACTGCTCCCTTGCTGCTTACTGTGGATCAGACGGCAGGTCACAAGAGATTAGCAGGAAAGAACTCTGGGATCTAACTAACCAAAATCCTATTGCCCAAAAAATATGCCAAGAAAAAGAGGAAATGGAGATATACTGCTGAGGACCAATGTTCCACTTGATAATAGTAAGAGAACCATGCTTATTTATTGCCTGACCTATTATTAAGCTCAGTTTTGGTTTCATAACATACATGCTTCATTAAATCTCTCGTTGTCTAAAAATAAAAAACACAAGTTTAGTCTACTGAGTATCAGCGTAAATTTGGATAATTGAGATCGCTAATAAAATCAGGTACAATATTTAATTATTACGATCCAAACGTGGAAATTCTCATCGATTCAGACGCATCAGATTATGATACTGATGCTGTTTTATTTCACTAATTCCTGAATGGAGCGTCTAAAACGTTAAATACGATCAAAGGAAAATTCAACCATACTGAGATAGAAGATTTGGGGCTTATCATGGGATTTAAAAAGCTCCACAAAATACTGCATAGCCGGTGGTCTGCCTTCTTTACCAACCATAACCCTCTGTTGAAGATTTTTAAATGGGAGAAGAACAGTGTAGTATATACTGTAAATAGTTTGCTAAGATGGGCTCTTGCTTTTCTAAGCCATAATTTTGATATCAGATATAAGCAAGTTTTTGAATTCCGTCCAGTAGACACACACTATGACGATTACGGAAGCAGAAAAGTATTGAAAAAATGCATAGCTACTTTCCAGACGAACCATGTTTTGTGTTCATTTTGATTTTGTTAAACTTCTTAGTATGTTAATGCATTTCCTAAGTGGATAGAGACTTTTCCTATGCATTCTGTCACTTCGCATAATACACTGACCCAGATACATCAGATGAGCAATAATTTTGATATTTCTGATGGAATATTCTTTATCCGTGCTTGTAGAAAGCTTCATATCACAAAACCTCATATCAACTCGTCAACCTTATAAAACTAATGACTTCGTATGTGTGTTAACATATATATATATATATATATTTATATAATGTACTTACGTCTAACGAAGTTGTCTTGAGAGTCACAGGCCAGTCTTTGTCATTTGAAACTTTCCTGGTCCAATAAATCAGAAGGCATTTGACGTAGGACAATATTTGGTATTCACTTAAGGTGTCTATTTCATATCACTGTTCTTATATCAATGTATTAGTCTACTAAGAATTATTGTCATTATAAAATTAAATTCGCAAATACATGGTCTTAAAATATCATCTTTAAACAAACTTGAACATTATAACTTCATTTATATTTAAAAATACGATAAGTAATCAATAACTTTTGAATTCCTTTGTCGTATTACATCAGCTCAGCTGGAAATTGTCAAACGGATTTTATTTCTAATAACAGGGAAATAACAAGTAGTCTGATGAAATGAATAGTAAGACTGAAGATGGTGAATTTTCTCCATCCAGGTGCAGAAAATGTTTGCAATAACACTTAGTTCCCCTTAATCGTACAATGGAAATTAAAGTGAAGATCAATTTTAGTAGTATTTTCAGATACTAGTTTTGAAGAAAAATCTATTTGGACTCTCCTTAATCTTTACAGTTGGCAAAGTCAGAAAGTATAAAAGACTAGTGTCTTATGGTGTAATGAAGCGGTGGGAAATCTATAGGTTGATCATCAAAAATATATGAAAATGAAATTCTGTGAAAAATTTAGAATTGAAATTAGAATTTAATTATTACATGATTTGGAGGGGAGTATGAAACAATACATCAGATGAAAGGTATAGGGAAAGGTTAGACTCAACTGTTTTAAGGGACATGCAACCAATATATATATGTATATATCGTTATTATCTTATTCGAAATGCAAAATAACCACATGGTTTTATCACAGTTAAATGATAACCCTGTAGTAGAGGGATGGAAATCTGTGGGAAAAAAATATAATATTAACTGTAAGAAGAATACATCTAGGAATTTTTAACTGTTTCAAGACAATCGCTTGGTACAAATCGCATTTCACCGTATGGATAAAATTTAACTAAACTCCAATCTTTGTTCCCATTTGAATCGTAGGAGCGAACCATAGTTACTAATTGACCTTTAGGTAATGAAAGATTATGCTGATTACAAAAATCTTCATTTATCCTGTGAGTAGCTTCGTTTAAAAATGTTTCAATTTTATTCACTTTAGAGGTGGAAGCTTGTTCTTGTTTTAAAGGTGTTTGTTTGGAGAAATCAGAATTTGAAGAATTTCCACTGGATTTCCGACTTTGTCCACAATCAGATTCACTCCGCTAATAAGGTGAGAGGAAATATAATGTCTAATCATTATTAAGGCGGTACATTTTTGCTAAAAAAATTTTACGAACAAGATTTATGCTCATGACTGAAGTATTTTAACGTTAGCACGGTGTTCACTTTAGGTACAAATTAAATGTAGATATCTTCAGTCGTTTAGATGATTTTTTTCCTTCACGTTCCCCAGTGGAACATAGGGCTTCAAGCGAGTGGCTCGAAGTTTCTGTAGCAATGTTTATTTTACAGGATGGGGTTGCTAGCCTCATGCCCAACCTTTCCTCTTTACCAGCATTATTTCTGGTTCAGCGAGGTAAAGGAGTGTGTCGGCCGGGGATCGAACCCCGGACCATGTGCATGGTCGGCGAGCGTCCTAACCTCTATACCACCGACGCACTGACGCCCGGTAGGGGACTCGAACTCCCAACCCTCAGATGATAATCCTTCAAAATAATAAAATCAGCAGTTGTCTAAATAAAGACTACTTCGAATCAAAATCTAATGAGTATCACTATACTTTTTTTTATTCCATGCGTTCTGAGTAGAACAGAGGCTTTCATGTTTTGGAAGTTTAAGTAATGGTAGTGTGTTTTTCATTGGGTGGGGTTGTTAGCTTCATTCTCAGACTTCCCTCTTCACCGGTCTTACTACCCTCCAGGTAATTTTTAGCTGTACGTCAGCTTGGATTCGATGAATCTTTATTCAATAAAGACAAGTGGAACAGCGTTCATAATAGTTAAAAAGAGAGGTCGAATCATATTTCGGCTGGTAAATACCAAATGTAAGTCAGCTGCATAAAAACAGCGTTTAGTACATTTAGAATAAACTACCGCTTATGTTCATATTTATGTGCATATACTCATTTCACATACTGCTGTGGAGCTGACTATATTGAATGTTGTAAGCGTAATCTCCGAAAAAGAGAGGTGCTTATAGAGAATATAGAATGTTTCTTACTTTTCACAATGAAGTAGAATAATTCTACGTGTAATTTGTTTACCGACATGTTTTTAGGAAGTGTTGAAGCAATTTTGTATAACACTTTGAAAAATTCTCCTTCAAATGATTATTCACTGTGTTTATAATGAATAAATTTTCTCATCCTTTTTGTTTTATAACCAACTTCATTGGAGTAAACTTGCCTTCACAAGTATTTGGAAAATAAATTATTACTTTTATTATCTTGTATTACTTTTCACTGTTATATTTCAGATATCACGAAACAGGTAAATACTGTTTATCCTGTTGATTATTATTTGTAATTAACACGGTAGATTGAGGCATAAGGCTTTCTAATTAATAAATCTTCAGTCCAATCATTAAATGGCTTCATTAACCCTATCACATGCTGTGAACGTCATGCCAGCTTATATATATATATATATATATATATATATATATATTCAAATCACATGAGAAATAAGAAAGGTGAAAACTAAAGGAGGTAAAAACCCTAATTATTGATTTAAAATTACAAAACAAAAAAACAATTTGTTTTTTGAGTAAAAATAATTAACTTTTCTTATAGAATTCCGCTATGGGCTTAAGCATATGATAGTAACCCCTATGGAGCCTTTATGTCTGCTTGGTCCTTTCGAAAGTGAATTATTTGACTTTGTAAGATCTTGCCAATGACATTAGCACTGACAGAATTACGACTTCAACTAATGTTAATTTGTCATTTCGTTATTTGAAATACACGCGTATATATATGTATATATAGTGCGTAGTGTCACCTTAGGTACTTTAAAATAAAAAAGCAGTTTATATGACTAAATTTCTTTTGGAAGAAAAGTTGGCGATTTGCGGGAGTCACCCAACTTATAACGAAATTACATGACATCATTAATTAACAGTTTAAGTGCTGTGCTCATAATTGTTCAATCAGATATTCATGAATGGATATAGTGACTGCTGTTAACAGGCTGGGCTTGTCTAAAGTAGTCAGTCAGTCAACAAGGAGCACAGATGGGAATATGATGTTCCCCTGTCTATCTCCTCTGTCTTTGAGATTGAAATATCAGAAATATAGAGAAGAACAAGTTGTTTTAACTGATGGTTTGCTTTAATAACATGCTTATTATAAGATTGAGTAAAATTACTTAAGGGACATGTGGATTCCACAGAATTAATGTGACCAGTTAGTCAGATAAATATAGGAAACTCACTGCAACTTTTGTGTTGAGACTGGATCTTAAAGCATCTCTTCTGATATTCTCTTTTGAGCTAGTTTTTCTGCTACGATAATCTGTACTTGAATTTGAATCACGGTTGTACAAAGACAGTGAAGCTAAATTAAAAGTTTTTATAAACATAATTAACGTAAAAATCAATCTACCGCTAAAAGTATTTATTATTCTACTTCAGCAAATTAACAGTATAGTTTGTTCAGGGTAAGGAAATATATATAAGACACTGTAGCATATTAATGAAATATATATACTAGAAAATATAATTTTCAGTATAATGTTAAACTGATGACGAAGGCGGAAGCTAACCAAATGAGAAAAATGATGAAATATACCTGGACAATTGTTTATTTAATGATTACAGTGTATCATTACGTCATAACTATTTTTCCAGAAATGTTTCACATATAAAGCCATCAAAGTAAAGGAATTGTAGTAATATTTGTAATCATATTCACCATTATACTAAATGATCAGTCCTACCGTGTCTACAGTTTATCAGTCTGAATTTAGAATAGGTGATACTACTAAGGCCTTGTTTAACAATATTCGCGAAGTCATCAACTGTTATCCCTAATTCAACCAACAGTTTATTAGTATGAACAGTTATCTTACGCCTAATCATTACTTCAGATTATTCTCACCAGGTCTCCATTCGACTCAACTTTTATCAGCAATTAACACCGAAGTGAAAACAAAAGTGAGACAAAACTGCCCACTATCATCGATGATATTCCTTATTGTGGTCAGCTGAATTACGTGCCACACCATGTGGAGCAAGAAGACAGTAGTATGTTGGGCTGATAAGTAGACTCTAGAAGATCTGGACTTTGAGGACGATTTATGTCTAGTGACATAAATTGGAAGACTTACAGGGGGAAATTAGTAAGTTGGCGGAAGAGGCAAGCAGAGAAGACAAGACTTCAAGTGAACATAGAGAAGACAGAGATGACGAAGATACTTAACGACTAACAACAGTAACAACAGGAAGTACTAATCACCATCAAAGAAATAGATTTGTAAGAGGTCACCTTCTTCACTTATTTGAGCAGCATTACTTTAACTCCAGGCGGCAGAAATGAGGATGTTAAAACCACCTAGAATCGAGAAAGCCTGAAAGACGTTTAATAATCTGAAATCAGTTTGAAAATTAGCATAAAGAACAAGATTCAATTTTAACATCAATATCAAGTCAGTCAGTACTTCTACATGGTTCAGAGACTTGGTGTGTCACCAGCAACATTCCCAATAAACTGAAAGCTTTTATCAGCAGTTACCCTCACACTGTACTGAAAATCAGATGGCTAGAAAGGATTATCAGTAAGGAACCATATCAATGAGCCAGCCGAAGACCAGACTCACAATAAATATGCTGAAGAGAATGAAGAGGGATACGGTAGGCTCTGAGGAGATTTTCGTGTGATATCTTTTGTAAGTCACTTGAGTGGAAGTCGAATGAGACACGACTGTTGGGCGTCAGCTCCACGGTGACATGGAGGTGATCATGTGAGGAGGAGATGGGAGATTATGAGCTGTCGTGAGGCCAGCTACGGAGGACTACAGAGGATAGGACATAGTGGAGATGTGTTGTTGAAGTCGTATGCTCTACTCGGAACCCAAAGGCATATTGGTAATAATACCGAATACAAAAAAACACTGCTTACAACATAACTAGTACAACCAAAAACTGGAGTCTTTTACTGTATATTATAAAAGGAAATGCTTCTTTCAAAGTTACAGCTTCTTATTGATGAAAAGAATAATATTATGTTAATGACCTCTGGATAAAGCTCAGTAGTACAGTTTCTGAGAAGTACTCGTTTGCTTCACTTGTTAGTTGTGTTTGGTGATTGACTAGTTCAATTAGCGAACTGTTTGAATGTCCACTGCTGTTTTTTTCCTATTCATTCTATGTGCACAATACAAACAATAATACAAATTCTCCTCTCTAAGTTGTTCTCTGGTTTACTGGTATTCGGACATTAAAGATTACAATTACAAATAAGTATTACCTTGCCTTAGAACAACTCAATCGATTGTGTTTATCAATCAGAAAAGCATAAATTTTGGAAAATAAACGTCAAGACAATGATCACAACTCAGAAAACACAAGTTAATAACCGGTTCTTTTTTTGATTGCACACTAGTCAATAACTAGTGTAATGCGTCTAGTCCTATCTTCGGTGCAAAGTGAATTCTATCAGTAAAGCTTGCAATGTGGCCATCATGTTGGGTGGCTCGCCATTACGGTGCACTGTGAATTGTTGGTATTGGATGGTTAGAGGCAATCGGTAGGAATCCTTGGAGCTAGGTTTCGTGCTAGTTAGCAGTCATCAGCAAGGCGTATAAAAACTAGGTCTAAGGATTCCTGCCAATTGCTTCCAACCATCTAATATCAACAATTCACAACGCACTGTAATGGCGAGCCACCCAACACGGTGGCCACATTGCAAACTTGACTGATAGAATTCAGTCTACACGAAAGATAGAACTAGACACACACATTACACTAATTACTGACTAGTGTCCGATCAAAAATATCCACTACAGTCCTACAGGAGGTCAATCGCGAGTCTGAATAGCTCAGTGGTAACGTCTCTGACTGCAGCACTGGGTGACGCGAGTTCGAATCTCAGAAGGGACATGAGTTCCTTCAAGGTCTAAGATACACCTTGTTGATGAGTGTCAACTAGCACGAAACCTAGGTCCAAGGCTTCTTGCTGACTGCCTCCAACCATCTAGTACCAACAAATAACTGGTTCACTTTGAAAATTCCTCCAGAAAATATCTCAGTAAAAAAAACCATATAATAATTTACTGAAATAAATAAATAAGTAAAAGAAAGTGTAAAACTGAAAATAAAAAAAATATGAAAGGTGAATAGTTCAGTATACTTAAAAACGTACCTATTTCTTGAAGAAGTGTGTTGCCTTTTTCATCTGACAGTAATTGATCCAATTTAGGTATACTGGATGATGATTGATGTGCTCGTCGGCTACGACGATGTTTTCGATCAGGTAGAAGAGATTTCAACTCATCTATTCGATTGATAAACTCTGTAGGAGATATCTTCTGAACAGTTTGTCTCTCAGGATGATTATTTTCATACTGTAAAAAAGCACAAAAGTGTGAAAAAAAATGTAAACTGCATTCAAAGTACAGTAATCTAGATAATCTTTCGATATAAACATTTCACATCACTGTACAAATAGAATATCGGTATTGTCACAAAATCCAATTCAGTATATGTTCGTTTTCTTCGATATAATAGGAAAAAATACACTATTAAATGGTGGGGGGACTGTTTAAATAAGCAAGTCCTGTTGGATTAGTTACTTCAGCTGTATTTTTATGCATCATTTCTTAATATAAAGTAATGGAGATGATTTGTTGCAAAGGTGGATGTTTTTGGTGCTACCGTGTTCTCTAAGATGAACACTTTACTTATCAATAAAATAACTCGTGATGTCTTCATTTATGAAGAATTTCAAAAGCTTACTTCATTTTGAAAACAAGCACTGAAGATATTGTCTAGAAGGATAATAAGAGATTCCCATCATCAAATCATCAACCTTGGAGAATATAATGACTCTAAGAAAATGTTACTTATTATGACGACAAACAGAAGTTTGAGGAAAGAATATGCTTTTCGAAAACCTTCCAGTCCAGCTCCACAGTTTTAATTCGGTTGTATTCTCTGAGATCGCTGATTTAATGGAGAAACGTTCATTGCCCCCTAGACTGTATCTTCAGCCCATGCTTTAATATTTTTAAGTCAACTTGTCTGAATTCTCCATGAATGAGACAACTGTATCTCCTAACAAACACTGTCGTGATTGGTTGTAAATTGACACCTTTATTGATCACCTTCATTGACTTGGAATTTCAACTTTCTTGTCTTGTGATTTATTTTTATATTAGTTGGTAAATTTGACGTTTGGTAATGTGTTTGTTAGTGGTTGATTCATCTGAGTGACAGGCTTCTAGAAATTTCCTGGCATTTTTGGTGGTTCCACTCTTTGATATTTCTACATTTTCTCAGTCAAACTGATATCCATAGCCATCTGCATGCATCGATATGAAAGAATACATGGTATGTCTTTTCACAGATAATTCTGATGAATGTAGTGTATACTGCAGTTCATGCAATATATTTCGTAAATGATATTGTTCTTATAATCTTTTACTGTTAAATCATTTGGTCTGCACAATACTGAATGAAGAGATTTTCTTGGCTTGTGTGCTGTGTCTGTTTCAAATGGTCTTAGCATTCTACTCATTATTATTTCAGAGATAGTCTTCACATATGGTGGCACGAATTTTCTTATGCTCCTTGAGGATGGTTTGTTGTTAATATTTCGATTTGAGTTTAAACATATTTTGATGAAATTGTATAGGTATTGATTCTTCTTGAAGACAGTTTGTAGAGAGTTCCTCTCTGTCCTCTTCAGCTTCGGAGTTCTGCAGTGTGTTTGAACTCTTTTAAACAATGTGTGCGCTGAGTTTCTTCTGACAGTCAATGGGTTATTCCATATTTTATCTCTGTGTGTTGATTTTTTATGTACTTAAGTTCCTAAATTTTCTGTGTTAATTCCCTTGATAAAGACATCTAAGAAAGGAATTTGTTGCCTGATTCTTCTTCCCTTGTTAATTTAATGTCTTCGAATTTGTAGCCGATCAATTCGTAGGTGCATTTCAAATCAAACCCGAGTTCAATGACATAAATTATCTGTGATAAGACACGACATGTATTCTTTCATATCGATGCATGCAGATTGTTATGGATATCAGTTTGACTGGGAAAATGTAGAAATATCAAAGAGTGGAAACACCGAAAATGCCAGGAAATTTCTAGAAGCCTGTCACTCAGATGAATCAACCACTAACAAACGCATTACTAAACGTCTAATTTATCAACTAATATAAAAATAAATCACAAGACAAGAAAGTTGAAATTCCAAGTCAATGAAGGTGACCAATAAAGATATCAATTTACAACCAATCACGACAGTGGTTGTCAGGAGATACAATTATTATATAATTCATGGAGAATTCAGACAAGTTGACTTAAAAATATTAAAGCATGGGCTTAAGATACAGTCTAGGGGGCAATGAGCGTTTCTCAATTAAATCAACCACCTCAGAGAATACAACTAAATCAGAATCACCCACCTGAGCTACAAATCTTCTCTTATTTCAGCTCTACAAATACATGTTTATGCATAATATTTAAGAATATTTGTTATTAATAATACTAATGTTTTTAAATATCATCGAGTTATTAGGATCAAAAGAATTACAGTGAGAAAAACATGTGTACATGATAATAAACATAAAAACATAATACTTAACATCAAATGAAATCAAGTACGAAGTTTTTATGACAATTAAATATTGTTAGGACACTGATGGTCAAGTTACGGAAACCGTCTCAACGAATTCCTTGTGAACACACAAGTTAGGCTTTTTAAGGTGATTCTCACGATTTCATTTCGTAAGGCAAAATTGAGAGTAGTAAGAATACGGTAGATAACTTTAAAAGCCTTGTTAACACTGATTTTGTGTACATTATCTGAAAGATGAGTTAGAATAAGGCTTTGAATAAACCTTTTCTGTCCCTTGCTTAGTCACATAGGATGATGTTCAGAAATCCGAAGATAAACACGCCTGATTGTACGCTCCACAGGAGCAATTAAACATCATGTGTCAGTGCATTCAGGAAAAGTGCACAGATGTCTCTGAAAAATGAAAGTTATTGATATTAGATGGTTGGAGGCTATCAGCAAGAAGCCTTGGACCTAGGTTTCGTACTACTTGGCACTCATCACCAAGGCGTACCTTAGACCTTGAAGGGACTCATATCTCTTCTGAGATTCAAATCCACATCACCCAGTGAGTGCTGCAGTCAGAGATGTTACCACTGAGCTATTCAGGCTCACGACTGACCTCCTGTAGGACTGTATTGGATATTTTTGATTGGACATTAGTCAATAACTAGTGTAATGTGTGTGTGTCTAGTTCTATCTTTGGTGCAGACTGAATTCTACCAGTCAAGTTTGCAATGTGGACACTATGCTAGGTGGATCGCCATTACGGTGCACTGTGAATTGTTGGTATTAATAGAATTGATACCGATAGAATTCAGTCTGCACCAAAGATACGCTAGTTACTGACTAGTGTCAATCAAAAAATACAAAACTTAGTCAAAGCATACCTTGTAAATTTCTGTACTGACACTTCACAGGTATAAGCTGTTAGATTCAAAAATATAACACACATTTCACTCAACTTTGCACTGAACAGTCAACATCCTAAAGTTTCATACACATGAAAAAATTAACTGCTTCATAGCCTACTGATATGAAAATAGTATCACTATTACTATTATTATTAGTAGTACTAAAAGACCCTATGGTGAAAATCAAAAATATCCAATGCAGTTCTACAGGAGGTCAGTCGCGAGCCTGAATAGCTCAGTGGTAGCGTCTCTGACTGCAGCACTGGGTGACGCGGGTTTGAATCTCAGAAGGGACATCAGTTCCCTCAAGGTTGCAGATACGCCTTGCTGATGAGTGCCAACTAGCACGAAACCCTATAGTGAAGGTGCACACTTTACCCTTCCCCACCCATGAAAACCAGTTGAAAGGAAACATATCTCTTACAGCATAAAATTTACCTGTAAAAAAATAATTACGCTTCACCTCTTGTAAAATTACAAAAAAGTTGACAATAGTTTTATTACGTGTAGAATTGTCATTTCTTTCATACTTTGTATTAATGGAAGATTAATATTCCTGAAACTATATGTCAAAGGAACCAGAAGTAGGAACAGGGATTGTGTCAACCAAATGAGCTCTAAAAGTTTTTGTTTTAAAACACAGATTTTCATTGGGGGGGTGTGTTATTTAAAGGTGTGCAATTGAATGAAATGTGTATACTTTAGTAAATTATTCTGCAAAAGAGCAAAAGTATTTATTTACTCGCCTAGACAGAAATAAATCAAGAAAATTAGATACCTAGGTTGGCAGAAATTACTACTGAAATGTCAATCATATATGTATATGTATATATATATATATGTATACGTCAAGAAGATTAACTCGCACTGGTTACGTAAAAGTACTTCAGTACACAATGCGGTTGACGTATCTGACATATAATGAAAAGTGGATTTGTAAAAGAAAAATTAGAATTGTAAAATAAGTATGCAATCAAGGGAATACTTATTCAAGACTTTATTTATTTTTAGATTCCAATAACGTTTTTCGACTTTATGAAATGATTTGTGTTTGTTAAGAAAAAGAAGGGTAAGGAAATTCAACCAGTCGGAACAAAAGAAGAGACATTTTAACCGATAAACTTTAAAAACAGTGAAGTTGATAAGACAGTCTTCTAAAAGTCAATCTGAACAAAGAATGTTCTTTTCAATAATTTCTCCTCTTCAGGTTTTTATTTGTTGTCGTTAAAATAATGGCCAGTTATGCGGTGGATACATTTTTTACCTAGAATAACAGATTAGTTATGGGGTGTCAAAATAAATAGTCGTATTTGTGTGATAAAAGTGCTAGGCTGAAATCGATTACAAAATATTGTAAAATGGAAGACAATAGTGGTGATTAGTCATGATAGATTGGTAGAATGTGGGGTATAAAAGGTGTCAGGTGAGTGGCTAGTGCAAAGTAGTACGTATTAAAGGGGAGGTAGTAAGACTGTAATGAGAAGTTCATCATGAAATAACCAACATGTGAAATGAAACAGGCGGAGGCATATATTGAGAAAAGAGATAATATCACTAATAAGTCCGGATAGTATAAATGGAAAATTCCATAGTACTGAGAGAATGTTTGCATGAAGGGTATAAATTGTAACGAATAATAATAATTGTAATAATAAGAAAAAAATGAAAAAAGCCAAGAGGGTTAAGGGGAAGAATAGCTCTTGGTGAGAAGAAGAATCACTAACCCAAGTTTGGCCACGGTAGGAACAGCGCTTGGATACAAAGTTCTGGTTTAGTCGATCTTATTACAAAAGTTTCAGCTATGTGTAGAAGACATTAGCGAAATGAACGTGACAACGACTTCGGAATTCGGTATATAACTCTGAAGGCT